GTTGCCAGCTCTGGAGAAATGGCATCCTGTGAGCTGGTATCTCCACAGCCATGTCTGCGGGTTAGTGCTTCTCTCCTGTAAGGACTCTGTGAGCTGTTTTCTGAGCCAATTGTTTAAGGCCCTCTGATCATCATTCTCCTGTAATAAACTAATGTAATGGTTCCCAAACTGTGCCTTTTTCCAAAATGTGTTGCTAGATGACTGAAAGGGATGGGGAAGAGTTGTTAGTAATAATAATAGAGATAGGCCATGTGGAGCTCAGCACAGCTGACCTGGCATTCTCCACACAGGACTTGTCCGAGCCTGTGTTACACTAGCCTGTGAGAGAAGGCTCTCCATGACAACCGTATTAGGTGCAGAATTCCTTCATCACATTCCTCACGCAGTTCAGGAAATGCTGAACCAGACAGGCCAAAGTGAAAGGCCAGAAAACAGTACCTACCTTCCGAGTGTGGTGGCACACGCCAGCAGTCCCAGCTACTCAGAGGCTGAGGCAGGAGGATCACTGGAGCTCAGGAGGTCAAGGCTACAGTGAGCGGTGATTGCACCACTGCACTCCAGCCCGGGTGACAGAGTGAGACCTTGTCTCTAAAACAAAAAAGAGAGAGAAGAGGCCAGGCGCGGTGGCTCACGCCTGTAATCCCTGCACTTTGGGAGGCCAAGGTGGGAGGATTGCTTGAGCCCAGGAGTTTGAGACCAGCCTGGCCAACATGGCAAAACCCTGTCTCCACTAAAAATACAAAAATTAGCTAGGCATTATGGCCCACACCTGTCATCCCAGCTACTTGGGAGGCTGAGGCAGGAGAATCTCTTAAACCCAGGAGGCAGAGATTGCAGTGAGCTCAGATGGCACCCTTGCACTCCAGCCTGGGCGACAGGGTGAGATTCTGTCTCAGAAAAAAAAAAAAAAGAAGTAAGAAAGAAAAAGAATCCCAACCTATCTTGTTCAGGACGTCGGCAAAGGGAGCTGACCCTGGGATGTTTGGTTTCCAGGGGCAACTCGAAGTACCATTACTACGGGATTCGTCTGAAGCCAGACTCTCCGCTGAACCGGCTGCAGGAGGACACGCAGTACATGGCCATGCGGCAGCAGCCCATGCATCAGAAGCCCAGGTGGGTGCGCAGGCCGAGCTGGGCGGGGCTGGCTTTCCCCTGGAGCATGGAGGGAGAGGTGTTTCTCCGACAAGCAACGAACTCATCATAACTCCCTCGTCTCCAGCATCCTGGGAAAGCCAAGGTACCCCCCTCTGCTGAGGATGAGGTGAGTCTAGCAGGAGACACAGGAGGCCGGGATGCAGCCTTCTCCAGATAACTGTTTTCAGACTTTTGTTTAGACCATTTAAAACTGTTTTTGACAGACTTCTTTTTTATTTTTTTATT